TCCAGCCAGAACCTGTAGGGAGCGCGAGCGGTGAGCCCTGGCCGCGGTCCGGCCTCCTCTGCTCTGCAATTGCTGAGGAGCCAAAAGGCCAAGTTGGGGACCTTCCTCTTCTAAGTGGCCCGGACCCACACGTGATGGCTCTTGCTCTCGCCATTCTCTAGTTCTTTTCTGATGTACAGTCCGCCCCCTCCCCGCCCCCCGCATGCATCCAGGCTCCCTCCAGCTGCCACCCCCTCGAGGAAGTCGTCCCTAACTCCTCTCCAAGGCTGTTTCCAGCGCTTCTGGTATCTCAGTTACAGAAGATCGGAGATGAAAGGGCCTTTAAGTCCCAGTCCTGGCCTTAAAAACCGAAGTCGGAGAAGGTAAGGAACTGGTCCGAGGCAACCCCCTGGTTGGCCGGGGGTTCGGGCCAGATTCGTAGTGTACCCCTAACAATTAGTTCGGGCCTCGCCCCACAACAGGTGCCTGAGGAACCGCGGGCCTGAGGTCCCGACGGCCCCTTCTCTGGTTTTGGCTCACCTTGCGCCGCTGCCGGTGTGGCTCGCCAACCGCGCCGAGCAGTGTGTGCGAGCCCAGTAGGATGTGCGCGCTCTGTGGCCACTGGCTGCGCACAATGCGGTGTTCGCCCAGCAGTATTGTGCGCACATTCTCGGCGCCGCTCACGCGGATCACCGGCCTGCCCAGCAGGTGTGTCTTGAATACGGTCCCGTAGCGCTCCCGGCGGGAGCTGTGGAAGCGCGAGCCCTGCAGCAGGCGCAGCGAAGAGGGCTGGGACCGCTGGGGACCTGGCCCAGACCTCCCAACCGCCCCTGGGTAACAAATCCCTGCTCCAGGCTGGTGCATTACTTTCTAAAAAGTCTCAAATGGGCCTCGTGGCTACCCTACAGTTTAGATGCCCCTGCTCCCATTGGTGAAATGAGGAAAGAACTTAGAATTCGGACGGTGAAAGCCAAAGGGCTCACGGCTGAGATGCCCCCTGACTCCTGATTCTATGCTTGCAGTTCATAGATGGCATGCTCCTCAGGCTCCTTCCTAGAACCCTTCTGTTCACCCCACGAGTGTAAGTAGCGTGATGGCAGTCCTTTCGAGGGAGCAGCTGGACGAAGGCGAGGACAATGTATGCTCCGTGGGCAACGGGAAGGACAGGCTACGAACCCTGGGAGGGTCCAGTGGGAGCCAGGGGAGAAGGGGCCATATCGGGGTGTGGGGAAAGCCAACTGCTCACCTGAACTAACCAGTGCAGCGTCTCGCCGAAGAAGGGCCAGCCCATAGAGCCCTTGGGCAGGGGCAGGGCGGAGGCCCGGTCCCGGCTTAGCATCCAGCGGAGGGTCCAGAGGTGCTGGGCCAGGCTGAGCAGGAGGCCGGCGCACAGGAGAGCGGTGCCAGCCGCCCCCAGCACAGACAGGCAGCTCAGACCGCAGGGGAACATGGTGAGCATGCAGGGGCCAGGCCGCTCTGAGCTCAGGGCGCAAGAGCTGGGGAGCAGGCAGCGCGCAGTGCTCACCAGTTCTGTCCGGAAAGGTCCTGTCGCTTGGGGGCCAAGACCGAGAGCTATAACCTCGGACAAGGATTTCGCTCTCAAAGCAGACGGGCAGTGTAAGGCGGCCGTGAGCACACGCCTTAGGGAATGTGCTTTCCCCAAGGCGAGCACACTCAGGACTTTTCCTCTCGGGATGCTCACGCCTAGCATCTGCGGGCACCTCCCACCTCCTCCCGGGGCCAGCACTCCCTCCTCTGATAGAAGCAGCAAGGGCGGGCAAAGAGGGGAGCAACTCACCGGTGTTGCCAACCTGGGCTTCAATCACCAGGGCTGTAGACCCCCGCCCCACCTCTCCCTCCCCCAGTGTGTTAACTCTTCTCGGCCCATCCCGGACACATTTATATAGACACTGGCTCCCTCCCTACCGACTGATCCAGAAACACACGACGTGACGCGCCCATGCATATTTAAAGCGCTCTATGCAGAGTACTGATTGGAGGCGGTGGGCTGCGGCGGGCTCGCCGGGGGCAAGGAGCAGGGCGTGGCAGCCGCAGCGGCACCGCGGAGGGACCGGCCGAAATACTCGGGCGGGGTCTTCGGGTTCGAGCCAGAACTTGCCGGCGGGAGCTCGGCGGCGGGCAAACCGCGCGCACTGAGCTATCGCGCTCTCTCTCTGGGGTCCGCACCCTCCAGCTTCTAAGTGCCCTTTCCCCTCCCAGTGCTCAAAGCTGAGGTCTGGGATTTCTCCCATTTGCTGTTTCCCTTTCGGGAAATTGCGGACCTCGACGTCAACCTAGGCTTCGCACGCGCCTACAAAGAAGATAGCCGGGGTCGAGATTCTCCGATATCCCCACTCCTTCCTGGTCTTTGATCTACCACTTCAGGAATCCTTCAAAAGATGGTCGGGTTTCTAGGTGGTTAGAGCCCATGCCCGCGCACCCAAGGGTCTCAGGTTAGATTCCCGGTCAAGGGCACGGACCAGGGTTTTAGGTTCGACCCCCGGCCAGGCCGGGGGCGTGTGGGAGGCAACCAGTCGATGTGTCTGTTTCACATCGATGTTTCTCTTTCTCTCTTTCTCCCTCTCTCCCTTCCACTCTCTAAAAATCAAAGGAAAAAATATTTTCGGGTGAGGATTAAAAAAAAATGATGGTTGCGGCATTGTTGCCCCAAGCCAAAGAGAAGCAGATATCCGAGGGCTCCTTTCGGATCTCAGGGACCACATTCACCATCTCCTTCCCCTTTGGAGGGCCCCCGCCCCAGTCTACACAGTTGCTTTTTGCTTTGCATCACAGGGCTTCAAATGCTCCGAGGACGCGCGGGCACGTTCCTGTCCCGACAGCAACCAGAGGGTGGGGAGGTAAAGCGCAGAGTTCCTGTGTTACTGAGAAGAGTGGGGTGAACTCCTCAAGCCTGTTCCGGCTGTGCAAGGCAGCCGCTCTCCGAATTTGGGACACCTCGCCCAAGCCGATGCCCTGGAGGGCTGGGTAAGGCACACCAGCGACAACCACATTCCACAGTCTTCCAAGAGAGCTAGCTAGCTGTTCACCCTCCTTTAGCAACTTCTAAGAATTACCATGTTTTCCATGTAAAGTTTTAAAAGCGTGAAAAACCTTTGGATAAGAGATGGTCAAAAGAACGTTTATTTTCTTTGTTTTAGTGACACCCCATTTCAATAACTAGGGAATAATACCCTTTCTAAATGAAGCAGTTGTTTTAAATCAGGAAGCTCTGAATAGATGCTAGAGCAGCTTATTTTCAAGAACTTGCTCAACCTCTTTTATATTTCATCACAAAATCAAGAAATGTACATATAATTTTTTACACTTATTTTACAGAGTCAAGTAGAAGTTTTTTACAGGCATAAATCCTGAAAATGCAAAAGGAGCATTCAGCATAAATACAATGAAGAGAACATAAGGATCAGACTGCTGTTTCCATTTGGACTGCAGTAATTTACACAAAGGAAAATGTACATTGTTCTAGGTTTTCCAGAGTTCATTTGGTTTGGCTTGTTTCCAAGTGAGGGTACGGTAGGGGGACCTGCTATTTGAAGGAAGTAACCTGACCCCTGTGGTACTTCGTGTGCAGGAACATAGCTACTGTGGCACAAGCTGCACCTGAAGTGGTTACCCCACTTACTTCCTGTCCTCTCTTTTAACTTGACCCAAACCAAATAAATTCTAGAATAGGGTCAGCTACAAACAATATAGTTAGAAATATTACCCCTGCCGAACAGAAACATTGCATCTTTAGAAAATCTAACACTTGTCTTCATATTCAGAATGGTTACATTAAACCACCCAAAGAGAACAAATAATTCACATTCTTATGGAGTTAAAGCAAGGTTGATTTCAGGGACCTTTAAAGATTTACCTATTTCCCCTTCAGAGTCAGCAGAATTAGAAAATTTTTGTCTACTTAAATCATATTTAGGTGAAAGTAAAAGCTAAAAGTCAGAAAATGACAGTGAAATATTCCCATATCAGACATGATTGCATTCCAAAACCAGATACTGATGAAAAAACAAAACCATCATTCAAGTCTGAATAAAAAAAGATATGTATAGGCATAAGTTTTTCTAATGTATTAACAATCAGTTTCATATACAATTTTTGACCTGATTTACATATATTTTTATAAGTGAAAAATTAATGTTACATTTTCCATATACAAAATAGTATTCAATTATTTAAAAATCCATACAAATGATATTTATTACTGTCTCTCATTTCAGCTCTCATCAGCGTCTTTCCTCTTTTGTGTTTTTTAATTCTGCAAACTGCCGCTACCATAGAGATAACTATTCAGTCACGAATTTGGTGTCACTGAGTGCATGGGACGTGAAGTCTATGTGTGCTGGGACATACCATTCACCAAACTTCGCAGCTGTTTCATGACTGTCTCTATCAACTTCTGTTTGTCTCGATCATTCTTCCTGAACTGAGCAAATATATTGTTCTTTTTGCTAGTATCCTTCATCCTAGGAACATATGTGAATGAAGAAGCTTAGTAAAAGAAATTATAACTTTGCTGTCACAAGTAAAGAATCTTGGGGTGCTCTGAATTATCTAACATTAAGCCTATGCTTGAAAAATATATTTCAAAGAAAATAAGTACTAATAGAATTAGGGAAATAGGTACCACACAAAAAAATTAGCAGCTTTATTCTACATTCTCTTTAAAGGGGTATTTTTGCATTAGTATATAAATCTAAAGTATATTATTTTCTAATATTATTCCATAAGTATGTTAAAATACATACCCTCTATTAACTGCAAATTATATTCATAGCAAGACAAGGTAAAAGGAAAAATAACATTAGAAAATTTAAAGCAGCAATTTTTTTTTTTTTGCCTCAGTGGTGTTTCATGGTATTGTAAAATAAATTTACATGTATTTTAAACAGTTCTTTTTCTTCCCAAGTAAAATACACCATAGACATTTTGAAATGTAGGGAAATAATATACACTTTTAATTTAACAATTAAAATTTTTAATAGTGATACTTAAAATGAAAAATGATTGAGTAAAAAAAAATCTGCCACATAATTTGACAGAAACCAACACCTACACTTGTATTATTTTTAATTGGACAAGATACACCAGTAAGTGTCCTGTTACTCCAGTTTTTACTGTATTATTTTCTAAATCACATGCTTCTCTGCTACAAAGAACCCGGGCCCATAACGGTGGGGTTTGATAGCACTCGCTGGTGGCAGCCATTCCAATTCTGAGCCACATTTTACAAAATAACTTCTTTCCTATGTTACAGCATAAAATATAGTTCCAGTTCTCCCTTGTCTCAAGTAAACACATTTCTAAGGCCAATGAAGCCTGCTACTGAGAGTATAGTAGGAAAAATGTTTTGTTCCTATTAACATAAATAGCAATCTCATACACCAACACTGAAGGGCAAAAAAGAGGCTTATGTTTTGGTTATTAAAATGGACTGAGCCTTTAAGCTCCCTTTAGACATTTCTCTTTTGATGAAAATCTCTAGTTCTTTAATCACTGAATCATAAAATGCTAAAATATTATGTAAAAAAGTTTTCAGAATATACTCACTTCTCCAAAAGAGTAAGGGCTGTGTTTGGATTCACCCGGAGGTACTTAGAAGCTGGCTGTCCATAATCAGCTAGATAAGTAGACCAATCCCAAACCATAAACAGGTCAAGGAGCTGAGAAAAATGGGGAAATGTTAAACCAATTTTTAGCTACTTACCTACAGCTAATACATAAGTATATGCCACTCTAGATCCACTGTAACATGACCTGCTTCTTAGATAAAACAGAGTAAGGAAATTCCTTTTTGAAACTTCATTAACTGCACTTAATAATCAAAATAGTATTTACTGTCTTTTTACTTTTAAAGTCATTAAAATTGTCAGGGGTTGCTTTTCTAATAAAATACTTGATTGCATTTTCAAATAAGTATAAAATGAAAACAGTTAATATTAACTATATTAGGTATAGAGATTTAAACTTTACATATTATTCAGTTCACAAATTTAATAAGGGTTGGTGCTACCAATTGAAGAATGTTAAAGAACTTAAATTTAACCTTTTCTCTTAAAGGTTAAGTATGTTTACCTTTCTAAGAAGCCATTTGCATCTAGACTTTCCCAAAGTAATTTAAACCAAAAGCTCGGATAATCTCAATTAAGTGCATTAAACAACCTCTGCTGGATTCTCCCTGGTGATAGATCCTCAGTAGTCTTATGAAAGGAGGGCTTCAGGACTCAGCATGTTAACTCTAGGCAATCATTTTGTATAAACAAACAACAACAAAAAAGAAACCCTCTTGTTTTCTGTAATGTTTTAAAATCGACTATTTGCTTTATAATCTCCAGTTAGAACTGTTGTCAAATATGGAAGTAATCTTTTAAAAGCAATGCCATGCCTAAACCAAAGCACCAAACTCCTTATCCAACTTTAAAACCCTAATCCCCT